CACCGCTAAGCATGAAATACATCACCGCATTCCAAAATTCTTCGCCATTTCTCAATCCATCCACTCCTTAAACGGCATAACATCGTTATAACATCTCTCGCAGTCGCCTTCCATTTATCTCTTCCAAGTGCAAGCCACCGCGGCATTCCTTTTCCAGTTTCAACATCAATTAAGCATTTAATGTCTCAGTAACAACGTGCAATTAATTTGTGTCATTGCGAGCGTTCAAAAACACCAGACGGAATTATGAGCGGGAAACGCGTCGTGTTTAATTTAATTCGTTTGAAAATTGTAATGACAAAGACCCTTGTAGCGGCGTGGTAGGTAATTTTTTAAAATAAACAACTTAATTACCTCAAATTTGAGATCTGCGATTACATGCATACGTTAAAATATTAATTATCACATTATTTTGTTTCAGTTATGCAAATATAGGTACAACTTAACTACGGCCCCATCTATTTATGGCGAGATTGATGAAATTTGAAATCTGATAAAGTGGTTCGAATAGGTCACAGTGATTTTGCACCGATTATTGACATCGCCATTATAATGAGATCATTGAATCTTAGTAACTAGACTCGATAAAACTAGAAACTTATAGTCCTAAAATTAATGCAACTTTTTGTTTGAAAATCCAATGTGCTATATAGGTCTATATATTCTTATCAGGTAGTAAAAGCATCCGAAATCTTAACGTTTATATGCAAGTTATCACGTACAGTATATTACATAAGTTATCACATACATTTACAATCTTCAACAACGATAACACTAACAGAGTTATCAGTGATGGCAATAATTAATTCAAACAAGGCATCCGGCAGAATTCGGAAGAAATGGACTTTCCTCATCCATGAACTTATTTTGTACCTTTGCGAGATACACCATAGACTGAGAGTCTATGGATACACCATAGACTCTCCTCCAAAAAAAAAAAAAAGGGAAACTTGCATTCGAGTTCATTTGTTCTGATGCCTGAATAAAGTAGGCTTTTTATAAATTTTAAAGTTTTTTATAGTGCTAATCTCTGCACTTAAGATTGAACATTAAAACATGTAGAAAAAGTACGAAAAGATTGTCGCTGCTGTGGGAATCGAACCCACGTCTTCGGCATTTAGCACAGTGGCTAGGCTTTTTAAGTTACAAATTGGCGTTTGCCAATTTGTAACTCAGGAGGTTCACCTGATGTTATGTGATTACCGCCGTCTATGGATCTCTACCACACTTCACGGGTTGCAGATGCATTTTCCAACATTAAAAAAGTGGGCCGCATTTACCTCAATCATCAGACGATACGCGAAAGAATAATACTTCCACTTTACACGGGTCTTCTGTGAGGGTGTGGTACTTCCCCGGAGGCGATTGCCCATTCGTACAGCAGGAGATGATGAATGGCCCTATCATTTCAGCCTGTTTGAGTCCACTGCTGAACATATAGCCTTACCCCACATACCGCCACGAAGCACTCGTTAGCCACTTGCATCCATCAACTAACCTCACACTTGCACTTATTGTCCTAAACTACGATGGCCAATACCTATTTACTACTAGCTTATTTTTTAAATAAGGTTGACAAGAGCGATCGGTCTATTTACTTTCTATAGAATTCTGTCAGAAAGTGAGAGACTGAGGTGTGTTTAGGAAGTTTATCTCTACAGTAGGTCAACTGTAATTGTTAAGGTGGAACTCATTAAGGACAGAATTACTGAGAGTATTTTGAGAAGATTCTAACGAAATAATATTCAAAATATTCTGCGGCCTCAAATTCTTCCCTTTACTGTATCCATAGGCTCTCTTCCAAAAAAGCGAAACTTCCTTTGAAATATATTGGCATTAGACTTCACTTGTTCAGATCTCTGAATATAGTAGGGTTTTTATGATAAAAGTTGGCAAACGATCGGGCGGTTCACCTGAATACACAGATTATTGGCACAGATTTTACTCTGATGGACGACAATGCTCGTTACCTTACAACCAATAATGGCTCTTGCAGGAGAACATTCAGGTTCTGCTTAATCATTTACATCTGCCATTATTTTTTTTATTTCTGCTTAATGGTTTAGCAAGCATGACATATGGTCCGGAGGATGCTTTTGACGAACCTGGACAGTGCATCTAAATATCGATAACTGCAGAATGAGACCAAATAACCTCATAGGATCGATGAACCATCGATCTCTTCGGGTTCCTTATAACCACGATCACGGTGATATTTTTTTGGAAAATAAGAGCGATTTTCCACTTTATTACGTTTTTCATCTACTGACGTAACGAAGTCTTCGTTAATAGCCGCTTAACAATCAAATTTACCCATTGGCCTCTGAATCTGAGTGTATGAGGAGAATTTACAGATAATTGCGTTTGCTGGGTAGATTGGCTTTTCATCGATTTAAATATTTCCAAGCAACCATATGCATGAAAACAAGTTATATTTACAAATAGGTGATCTTAAGGATAATTTCCTGTTTAAAAGTAAAAAAAAATAGTAATAGAAATATTAAATTTAACTGAGAGAGATTTCTCTAAATTTTCAGATGAGTCCATTGCTCAACTTACTATAAAATATCAATGAAATCGTTTGTACAGATCTGATAAATTAACAAACGCCTCTGAGAAATTAATCATTTCTTAATATTCATAATTAAGTTATCTTCGAGTTTCTTGAAATATTGCCGGAAGGGAACCATTTACATTCAAATTTCCTGATTAATTTTTAAGATAAATTTATTATAACTAATAGGATGGTTTTACGGATTTTATCGCGTTATATTTTGATTTTATATTAAATTACTCTTATAAATCATAATCATTTCACTATAAACATTTTTGATTTACTCCTAGCTTTTGGCTTTACTAAATAATATAAACATAGAAAAATTGTGCGCACATATACAGCGTGTCGTTACCATCACAACAATAAATGAACACAGATATTGGGGATAACTTTTAAATTTGTATTAAACGTTTAAATTCTTTAAACATCAATATATACAGAGTTATTAAATTTTCCAAAACAAAGAATTTTAGAACACCCTTACCTATAAAAGCGTAACGTAAAGTTCATTTATAAGGGTCACAAAGCCTATGAATGGGTTGAATGAATTTAAAAGAGACAAAACATACTGTTAGAAGGAGAGGCTTGTAATACGACGCTGTGGCGCTAGTTGTATAGGATGTTAGACATTTTGTTTCTTTTTTACTTAATTAGTTTGTTTGAAAAAATTTTTTTTTTAATTATGGATTTTGTTTTACGTAAATATTTTTTTGTGATTATTGGCTCGTAGCGTTAGACGTGTGTTCATTTATTGTCACCATGGTAACGACACGCTGTATATGTATTAGATTTTTTTATAACATGCATAACAGACATGAAAATCTTCCCTGTACTTTCTTTTGTAGTGCTAATCACTGCACTTAAGATGAAACATTAAAATTTCTAGAAAAAAGTATGAAAGTGCTAAAAACAATGTATATAAGAGACGTTGAGATTTTCGTCGGTGTGGCAATCAGCCATTTAGATTAGTGGTTGGGCGAAGGACTTTTCGTACTTTTTAGGGTTCCGTAGCCAAAGGGTAAAAAGGGGATCCTTTTACTAAGATTACTGTCTGTCTGTCGTCCTGTCACCAGCCTGTCTCATGAACCGTGATAGACAGCTGAAATATTCACAGATTATGTATTTCTGTTGCAGCTATAACAACAAATAGGACAAAACAGAATAAAAAAATTTAGTGCAGCTCCCATACAACAGACGTGATTTTATTGCCGTTTTTATAGATAATGGCATGGAACCCTTCGTGCGCGAGTCAGACTCGCACTTGGCCGGTCTTTTCTACAAATTTCAATCTTCACTCTATGTTATGGTCTGCTTCTTTCCAAAATATGTCTGTATTACAATAGATCAATTGATAAATTAAAATGTTGTGAGGTACGCAAATCTGCATTTTACCTTGAAAGATAGAAGAGCCGACCCGAGAAGTCGTTCTATTACTGGATGATTTGAAATTCAAAGCAAACATAAAATGTTGTAGTTATCTTTACTTTGAGTACCAACCCAGGTAAATAACTTTTTAAAAAATTAATTTCACAATACCAATTGTGACATTTTTTTGACAAATTGAAATAATTTTACATCCAATCTCGTAAGATTAATTTGACCTTGGAATTTTAAGCTCGTAGTAGTTAGTGTCAGTTTTAACTAGTTGCTAAAATTACTGATCATTTATGACAACTTCCTGACTTATTTCGGAAACGGCAAATTTAATTAAAGCTGTGGGAAGCCTTTGTTGAAAAAATAGTATTGCAACTTTTTCTATAAGCCCACGTTTGCTAACTTTACTATAGAATATAGATCTTAAAGATGCAACAGACAAATTAGTCTATCTTTCTATTATTCTTGTATTATGTCATACGTTATGTGTGTGTCTTAGTTATAGTAGTTTATATACGATGTTCTGCATAAATACGTTCATCTTGCCGGTTTGGTTCAGGAGAACATGTGTCAATCGGTAGATTTAGAAATAAAAAGCCTTTGAGGTCCGACACTCCAGCAACTCGGTTGTCATTAATTCAACAATTACTACTGTTTGTATTCACAACCATTCTCAATAATATTTTTTTAAATAAAACTTTAACGGTAACGTTTAAAGACGTGAATGATTCTTTATGCGATTTACCCATCTCTTCTCTTCGTTGAGCCGTGATAGCTCAATGTCCGGGCAACCTGAGTTCGATCCCCGGTGCCGGCACCAATGAAGTTTTTAACTTTAAGTGCTGACTTATCACGTGCTCCGCGGTGAAGGAAATCATCGTGAGGCAACCTGCATATTTTCGAAATAATTACAAAAAAATATATATTTCGAAGATATGTGAAGTCCGCCAATCCGCAGTGGGGCCGCGTGGTGGACTATGCCCTGATGCCCTTTGTATAGAGGAGGCCTTTGCCCAGCAGTGGGACATGTATAGGCTGTTACTTTTTACTTTAGTTCTCTTCGTTACAGGGTATGATGGCGAACGCTAGGTGGCTGGCTACCGTGTGCACCCTGCTGGCCCTCTTTGCCACCGGCGGCTGCATGAAGTGCTGGCAGTGCGGCCAATACAGCGACGGTGTGGGCTCCATAACGCCCTGCAACAATCGCAGCGCAACGCGGCTGGCGGAATGTCCTGCGGGGGCGAAGTACTGCATAGTAAGTGCCTCCGATTCGGGTATCTTTTGACACATAACGAAACCCAGTTAAGACAATTTTAAAATTTCAGCCCAATTGTCAAAAGGCTGTCAATTCATCTGGAACCCTCGGGTGTAGCAGATGTCCATGGGCGGCGGTATTCACTTAACATCAGGTGAACCGTCTGCTCGCTCGACTTTTCACACAAAAAAAATAATAATAAAAAAACTAAACCTCCCTTATAAATGTACGAATTCTCAAAAACAAAAGTTGCTGACAAACTGACAGATGAATTTTGTGAAATTAAAAAATACTTTTTTTGTTATAAATCTGCGATAGACGCGAATACCAAGTGCTAATTAAGAAATTGTTATAATGCAGTTTAAATTTATATGTATAATTATTTTCTAATTTGCAAAGAATTTTTGAAAAATGGACGAAAATTTACGGAAGTTAGAAATTTTTATAAAAATAATAAATTCCTTAAAAATTTTAAATTATTGGTATTTATAGAATTGGATAAAATTAACTAATAATTTATAGAAGCTCTTTTATATCATGGTCTTATAGTGCTTTACAAATATAGTAAACGTAGGTCGTTGTTAAATGCCGAGCCTTTTCATTTTTGCATTGAAGACACCGAAATCAGACTGAAAGATTGTTTCAGGCATATCTGGAAATTGCCTCTTTAACAAATACGAATAATGTCAAGAACTGCTTCGTGTTATAGAAGCTTGCTTAGATTCTATATTACAGATGGAGAAAGAAGTAAAGTAAAAAAAAATATACGCAGTAATAAGATATATTTCAGAGATTCTCTCCGAGATATATCTTATTACTGAAACGGTTACAAAATACCCCGTGGTACAGACTGAACTTTAAAAATTGACGGAGCTAAATCATTATCACACAAATAAGTCTTCAGATATCTGTCCACTAAAGACACAAACACATAATAATGTGTTGCCTACCGCTGAATTTATAAGATCGGCCCAGCCCCAATAATGCTCCCATCTTGTCTGAACCGCAGCCTCTTTAACGAATGTGATTTGACCCCAACTGGCCTAAATTCTTGGCTCATATCGCTTAATATCTGTGCTGTCTTTTGCATACTCAAAATAATACCTACACCTATGTATGTTAACATATTGTGAATCTCCTTAGATACATAACACAGGCGTATAATTTATATACGTCCATAAAATGTTCAACATTTACGATTTATAAAAGACTTGTGCGCAGAATTTCTTTTGTAGTGCTAATCTCTTCACTTAAAATTGAACGTTAAAATCTGTAGAAAAAGTACGTAAAGATTGTCGCAGCTGTGGGAATCGAACCCACGTCTTCGGCATTCGCGGCCTGACGCTCTAGCTCAGCCGTTTAGCTCAGTAGCTATCGCGACAATCTTTACGTACATTTTCTACAAATTTTACTTGTACTCGTTGGAATCCTGCATTATTCCTTATTCCACCAATATTATTATATTAGACAACGACATGCATATTATGACTATTTAAAACAATTACTATGTAATGGGGTAATGTTTTAGACTTGTCCGAAAATATTATGTAATCAATGCCCATATCCTTTCTTTTAGTCAATTATGAAATGATTTCTGAAATATTTAGGTGGTAAAGGATAAGGTAAATTTCCTTTTAGACAAGTGAAGGTCATTTACCAAATTTAGGATAAAGGGTCCATTATACGGTATCACTTTGTTCAACGATATCATTACGTCACACAATGGCCTCGTAAGGGTCCGCCGACTTAATTTGTGGCGCGAAAAACTAATTATTTCTAATAACTAACAAGCTAAATATTTAAAATAAAGGAAGCTTATGTTTTGTATTAGATATTTAAAACAGCAAAAATTTTTTCTCAAGAAAATTTAATTTTTCTCTTTTTTTTCCTTTTGTCTCTTTTTCCAATTTCCTTTAGCTATTGAAATTTTTAGTTTACTTCTTGTAATAAGCAAGATCTAAAAATCGTTCAAGTGCGTGTCCGATTCACGCACGAAGGATTCCGTACCATTATCTATAGCAAAAAATGTATGTCTGTTGTATACGAGCCCCACTTAAATATTTTTCATTCTGCTTTTTTAGTATTTATTTTACAGGGGCAACAGAAATACATCATCTGCGAAAATTTCAACCATCTTGCTATCACGGTTCATGAGATACAGCCTGGTGACAGATGGACAGTTTTGTACCTAGTATTTTTTTTTTTTTTTTTCAAATTTTATATAACAGTGTCGGTACTGTAAAGTTGCGCCAATTATGTTTAAACATGTAAAATGTAGATGGTAGTAGTGAAGTAGCAAGTGTTAATAAAAGTAGTAGTCAAGATTTTCAGGCCATGAGGATATCGGCGGTTCAGCACAGTTGACTAGAGAGCGTGTAAACTAATAGTCACAGGTTCAAATATACTGGCAGCGGCGAAATTTTACGGAAACTTTCCTACGTAACTCATCACATAAAAAAAATCAGATTTCATCTCGAGAGCATAACATTTTTTTTATGTGAGAAAGTGGCAAACGAGCTAGCGGTTCACCTGATGTTAAGTGATAACCGCCGCCCACGGACATTTGCGACAACCGTAGGGTTGCAGATGCCACCTTTTAGTAAAGTGGGCCCCGGCTACCTCACTCACCAGACGAAACGCAGAAGTGCAACAATTCTACTTTACGCCGGTATTTACAACTCCGAATGGACCTGTCCATTCGTGCAACACTGAACATTTGCAGGGTCCTAGCATAGTGAAATATAAAAAAATATAAATAACAGTAAAAATAAACTAAAAACCTATGAACATTTTTAGGATTATAACTTACGCCTTTCAATTCTAGAAATACGTCAGCGAGTTGACCGTCGTACGAGACTGCGTGCCTACGTGCACCGAAAAAGGTATAACTAATGATTAATTATATTATACAAAAAAGGTACCGACTAGTTTCAGACCTATCGGAGTCCCTCCACAACCAGGTCTAATTCTCGCATTGGTATAGATCCGAAACGTAACAGTTTAGATAATTTCCTTATTCATTTATTAGCGAATACATTAAATTAAGACAGAACTACATTTCGTAAAGATACAGCTTGGTTTTGGATCGAGCCATGGGTTTTATAATAATATTTTTTTCCCTATTAAAGTATGCGGCTTCGTTTACATTTCGTAAAAAATCATAAAGGACTGCTGACGACAGATTGGATCGACATCTGCCTATACCTCTTAGCGTTAATTGGAAATGGGAAGCACCGGCTTTCAAACAAAAAAAAAAGAATCATTAAAAATAGGTCGACTCAGTCGAAATTTCTGAGGTAACAAACATAAAAAAATACAGTCGAATTGAGAACCAGCTCCGTTTTTGAATTCTGCTGAAAACATCAATAAATAAAAGGAGACCACGGTTTCCCGGAACATAGAATGATACCTATATTTTAAACGATTCCTGTTTCCAACTGTTATCACAAACATAAAAAATACAGTCGAATTGAGTCGACCTCCTTTTGAAGTCGCTTAAAAAATTTGGCTTGTTTTCCAAACAGAATGGTGGGGAGCCCGGACCTTCTGCTGTGACAGCGACGAGTGTAACAGCGCGTTTATTCAGACCCCTGTAGCCGCCGTCGTCTTCGCTGCGGCCACGCTGGCAGCGGCCGGCCGCTGACCGCAAGTCTGAACACGCCCTTAGTTCCCTCTGTATTGGTTCAGGAGACAACATCGAAGCGTTATGTTCAATATTTCTTTTATTTATTGTTGTTGATATTTGTTCCCTTTGCATTATTATTCGTTTTATTTATCATTGTTGATATTTACGAGTATCACCTTTTTAATTCGATTTGAAAGTCAGCTTTGAATGAGATGAGTTGAGTTGACGTATTTTTCGGTGTACTGAGTGAAACTGACAGATAGTAAGAATTTTATAATTTTCTTTTTGAATTCTCAACGTGTTTGAGTTGAGGAAATTGTATGTATCGAACTCGGTTTTACGTATTTCTTAGATTCGTTGATGTAAAATAATGTATTTAATGACAATAATTATGTTTTTGTTTTATTATTCTTTTTAAAAAAAAAGCTAAAAAGATTGTGTCGGTATTTGGATTATGTAGAAAAAAATAAAAGATAAATTATTGGAGATCAAAACTGAAAACAATTTGATTTTCGAATACTGACATAATTCCGTAGCAATTATTTTCAAGTTCCTTATCAAAAAGCCTATATCGGCTATTCTCATATTCGATTGCGTAAAATGTATAATTGCTTTCTTAACGAGGTGTAAAAAATTCAATTTAATAAAAAAAATGTTGGTAATTTTCAAATTAAATGTACTTTTCTTTAAGTCTATAGAGCTTTATATAATAACATTTGGTATTTTAATTACTCAGTTGATTAAATTTTGATGTACATAACTTCTTATGTTTGTATATAAAAATGTTCATTTTAAAACATTTTCCTTCTAAAACTATGTTATACAACTTCGCTGATTATTTGGATACATCGTTTGCTCCACGTAATGGTACACAAATTTTATTATAATCCAGATATCAACTGATATTCTCCTATTACTAATGATTCAGAATGTTTAGTCATTGTGTGTATTACACAGAATCAACTCAAGATGCAATAACTTTTAAATTTTAATCTAGACATAGAAGTGATAAAGGTAGATGCAATTCAATGAAAAACACACTACATGACTAGTGGTAATTTATTATAAATATCAATATTTTAAATTATTATTAAGCACATAATTTTATAACAATTCTTTCAATTTGTTCTATTTTAAAAAGTGTTCTACGCTAACCTTCTCAATATTTAATAACAAACAAAAATCCCAATGTGATCCCTAAAATAATTTTGTGAAATGTTAAAAAATGATTATTGTTGAATTATTTAAATATTTTATGTCGTTAAATTTTTTCATATATTACTTACAATTATATACGAGGGTTTATCTTAAACATTATATTAAATAAAGACAAACAAACGCTTTATAGAATTTTATCACAACAAGAAACTGAAATACGATTCTAAATTATCATTAACTTATCGTAATTTAGATATTAGCTCTTAGGGAATAAGGTCTAATAGTGTTATGAAGGAAAGTTCAAATGTGAGAAAGTTTTATTACGTACTTCAAATGTTTTAAAACTTTATTAAAATTGAATAAAACGCTTTTAATTATTAAACTAGATACATATTATAAAAAGCATTTTTAAGTTCAACTTTTTACTGAACTAGTCACAACCGTACAGTCGTCGCTAACTAAAACGTAATTGCTTAAACTTAATTCTGATCGCTCACTGTGAACTTGAATTTGGGCGCAATCGCTTCGATAACTAAGTTTTTTTGAGAGAAAAATAAAAACAAAAAACAATAACTTTTGTTCTATTTCACGAGGCTATTTTATAGACATACAAGAATAGACATAGAGTCTGAGCGTTTTCCTATACGTCTAGTTTTTTTTTTTTTTATGGGCTGGATGAGCCACTGTTGGCCTTAGGGGCCTTCACAGTTCACGTCTAGTGTTCGCATTGAAAACGTTTATATAACGCGGTGCGGACAATAATGTACATGTAATTACACATATAAAATGTCTAATTGTTTCTACCAATTCTTCTTTGAAATCAATGAGCGTACCACGAATATTTCGCAACCGAACATATATTCAAAAGATTTTAACCCATTTTTACCTGATTTTAAAAGTTAAAATAAAATGCTATGAATTTTTTCTCAAAACTCGATAGCTTCCGCGACGTTCGATAGGCGTTTTATTTTTTTTTGGGATATTATCATTTGGATGTGATGAAAATAATTGGTTTTTGAAAAAATTCAATTCACGCTTTACATAGAGGCTTAAGTACAATACGAATAGCAATACTTATAGCTATAATGTACAATTTTACAAAATACTACGCTGTATTAGATTCCGTTCCTAGATGAATAAAGACCAATTTATAACACGAAGCACTGTTTTTTTACCCCTTATATTTCAGTCCGAGCAAAGATTGGAATAAACGAAACTACATGAACGAATTTTATGGGTTAACCATGAGTATATAAAGGAAGTAGCACCAGTGATAGAAAATAAGGAGTGGTAGGTTGACATGGTGTACTATACTATCGGCCTATATATGTCCCACTGCTGGGCAAAGGCCTCCTCTGTACAGAGGGTATCAGGGCATAGTCCACCACGCGGCCTCACTGCGGATTGGCGGACTTCACATATCTTCGAAATATTTTTTTTTATATTATTTCGAAAATATGCAGTATTTTTCCCAAATTGTATGGATTGTGATGGTTGATACATGGTGTAAAATAAACAAAGATATAATCCTCTTTGAAGAATTATACATGCGGTTCACCTATTGTTAAGTGAATACCGCCACCCATGGACATCTGCTACGCCCGTGGGTTTGTAGATGCGTTGACAACATTTTAAAAAGTGGGCTAAAAGGGTTTTCACTAGTTCCAAACTAACATCTTAACAAATTGACAACCACCCATGTGAATTCGTTTAGGATTACATATATTTAGGACAAGTCATTTCCATCGAATAAACTACTAAAGAAATAAATAAAATAAGAATAACAAATAGATTCAAGAAGTACTGGTAATTGAAAGATGTTATGAATCTAATAAACTAAGCATGACAATAAAAAGAAAAGCTTTCAACACCTGAATGCTTTCAGTTATTCTTTATCGATGTGAAACATGGGCATTCACCAAACTTCGCAGGATAAACCTGGAACGCTGTGAGACAGTCATAGAAGGAAGCATGACTTGCATAAGGAGTAATAACATATTAAGAAGATTTTATTTTAGTAAGAAGTGTAAAAAGAGAAAAAGCTAAAGTAGTAGACATATCAGCTACATCAATAAAAATGGAGATTGCCTGGTCTCATGATTCGAGACAAGGATGGTAAATGGAATACAACCGTCTCTGATATTCCCACGGATCACTACAGCTGATTGTTTGTTAATATTAGCTTGGCCCAAAAAATATATAAATCAATGCGTATTTGTGTTCCCAGTGATTCTAAAAAACCAAAGATTTTATAAAATGTCATTGTTTATTTCGAAATAGCAGACAGATTCTAGAATTCTCATGTATTTCTTTTCTTTTGTTTATTTGTGTTTATGCAATATGGAGCACATCATTTTAAGAAGCAATTTTATGGCCGATTATATACGAGTGCTATACTAACAATCACGAAATTAAGTTATGGATCAAATCCAAATCAACAACAAATACAATTAATAATGCAACACAATGAATAATATTCAATGACAGGCATAAGCTATTACGCTTTTATTGATATTAACGCTCATTATGTCGCGATAGTAAATTATCTGACTAGGAAAAACAACACGAGTTGAAAATTGAATCGAAACTTATGAGACATTACATTATTTTGAGAATGATGTAACTTTGAAGAGCGTTTCTATTCTTTTTTTTTATGTTTGTCAAATCCTTAACACCACAACTTTGTTATTTTTGAACCTTTATAAATTCTTTCCGCATTGAGTTTTTTTTTTTTTTTTTTTATGTGAAAAGTTGCCAAACGAGCAGACGGTCCACCTGATGTTAAGTGAATACCGCCGCCCATAGATATCTGCTACACCCGAGGGTTTGCAGATGCGTTGACAACCTTTTTGGAAATTGGGCTCCGGCTACCTCACATACTTCCACTTTACGCCGGTCTTCTGTGAGGTCGTGGTACTTACCCGGACGAGCCTACCCATTCGTGCAACAGCCGAGGCTGCTGCGTGGCTCTACCACCCTTAAGTTCTGTTTAGCTCGACGCATGAACATATGCAGAACGTAATAGGTGGAAAAAAATTCTATGACAGTTTGCTAAAACTATCACTTCCACCATAATTCATAAATTAATATCCATAATCCACCAATCCGCAGTGGGGCCGCGTGGTGGACTATGCCCTAATACTATCTGTACTGTGTAGGAGCCCTCTGCCTTCTGACATTTATGGGCTGTTACTTTACTTTAGATAAATTAATATGAAATATGATTGGCTGTTAGAGAATGAGATGCCTCCAATGCAAGTATGAAGGTCGTTGCTGATTTAGTGTGGTTACCACCCGAGACTAAATCGCTATTAACCTCTAGATAAAATAATAGTAAGTGAGCAATCTGATCATCAGTAAAAGATATATTTATTGTATAAGAATTTTGCCGAAATTGTTGAAATTGTATTGGCTTGTCTTTACATATCCAAAATTAAACTAGGTTAAACGTGGGTCATACTGTATACGAAAATTTCTATTTCCAAATTTAAAATTGTTTTATGCCTTCCGGCGTTGGCTTTCCGCCAATCAAGTTAAATCTCGCTTCGGTGCATAAATTGAAACAATCACAGTGTGTATGCAAATTTTTATTGTAACCCCGTTCATACTCTCACAAAATCAGTCTGTGGTTACGGATTTCAATTTGTTTTCGTAAAATTTTCAAGGAAATATTTAAGAAGGACAATTGCTTGTTAACATGTGGTGATGATGAGACGGTCACCGACTGTGGCTTACGTGTAAGCATACTATACGTTGTTCTTCATTGTCTTTTAATCCATTCGCCAATCGTGTACAATTCACGCCATTACTGACCGTTGTTTTAGGTATTTTACTACGTCCAGAAAAACGTATACAGC